CTTCCTCGTCTGCGTGCTGCGATTCTTGAGTTTGGGTTGTTTCACTGCGTCTGGTGTTAAAGGTTTTTTTTTAATTTGCTGTGTTTGGTGGATGTCGTCCCCATAGCGCCCCCTCCGGCCGCTAACCTCAGCTGCTGCAGCTCTTCCATTTTCTTTGATTTCCTTTGATTTTTTTTTTTCATTCTTAAAAAGAAATTAGTTTTAAAAAACATTTTTAAAAGAATTCAATAAATGTTTTTTTTTATTATTTTGAAACTGTCTCAGATGTTTTAATCCCTGCATAACTGAACCCGTGTGCCTTAAACAAGAGGTAATAATCTCTGGGTGAAATTCCCAGGGTGGTGTTGTTGAGCAATTTACTAAAACTAAACTTCCACAACATCTGAGTTTCCATCTAGTGTCGCTACAGTTGCATCACTCTTTTGAGGGGAGGCTAATCCATTTCGGGTTGTTAGACAAGCTTTCAAATAGAAATGTATATATTTTTAATGATTTAGCTAGAATGATTAAAACAGATAAGGATTCAGAATTGTGGAGCGGGTCCATACAAAGTCCTGGAAGTTGTTGCTACACATCGTGGACACTACTCTTGCATTACAGATAGATAATATACATTGGTGACCACAGTTATTGGCTCCCCTTGTAAAGATGTAGACAAAATGCCTATGAATGAATCTTTTATTGAAGTAGCATAATCTTAGACTGGAAAGTGTAAAAAGAATAAATAAAAAATCTTTTAATTTGGGTGCATGACATAAGAAAAGGATGCAATATGCAATTATGTTGTCATGCAATATAACCTGCTCTGTATTTTACAAGAGTATACTACTAAAGGACACTGCATACATTTACTTGCCACACTTTTAAATTTTATGTTTAGAAACATTTTTAAAAAATAATGAAAAATTATTCTTCCAATTTGCAACTCATTGGGGATTTTGTTTATTTCAGATAAAATACGTTTGAACAGGTAAATTTTGTTTCCTTCTTGTTTGATCTATAAAATCAATTAGAACGTAGTTTTTGGGTTTTTTATAGCAAGATTCCACTCATACCAACTTAAAATGAAATATTAAACAGTTTGCAGTTACAGCTTTTTAATTTTGAAACTTTGAGGACCTTCTGTCTTAATTGATCATGGGAGCCTCCTGTCATTGGAACCGGGGAGAAGGAACAAAAAACGGGATGTTTTTTTTTGTGTGTGTGTGAGGATTTTGTTTTCTGTTGGGCAAGTCTTGCTTTCTCATCTTTCATCTCTGGACCACCTGTTTGATCCAATCATGTACCTTGTGAGTGAATCTTAAAAATAGCTACAGTTTTGATGTTCACTTTGTCAATATCAGAGTGAAAAGTTTTGTACAGTACAGGCTTACATTCCTCGGAGTTGCTGCTGTGCTCGCTTTGTTTACTGGCCTTTCTTGAGCTTTCTTGTGGAGTCCCAGGAGATACAAACATTAAATTGCTTTTTGGTTCAGAAGCTCCTCAGATGTATTAGAACTTGTAATGGACTTTGCCTCAGCAACAGAGTCAGATGTTCTATTGATTGGACCCACTGAAACTGCTTCACGCCGCTGAATAATTCATGTATCTATTAAATGTATTGTCCTAATTGTAACGATGCTTGGCGCCGTCAAAGACGGAAGAAGAAACCAGAACCCACGCCTTTGTCCGACTTACCTTTCTTATTAGAAAATATTAGAAATATCATAATGTGATTTTATTTCAAGAGTCACTATAATCATATCCATTAAGATGATGATAACTTGTGCTGCCTGAAAGGCAAAACAAAGTTTTAGACAAATCACGCCTCTTAGTTTTAATTAAAAATCACAGACAGCTTAATTGCATTACTGTTGTGCTCTGCTGGTGCGTGATTGCTTCAGAACTGAAACAGGAAAAAAAAAAAAAAAAACCAAGATTAGGAGGACCTGCTGCTGATTCTGCTGCCTGGTTTTTGCCCCAGTGCCCTCTATCAAGGATTTCTGCCTCAAACTTTCTTATGCAAGTCTCTTATCATGGCGCAATGAAGTCTCCTTGGGGGGAGGATTCTTAAAATCGTACTTTGATAGGTGAAAGCCGCAGCGACAAAATTTCACTTGAACTCATTCTGACTCGAACCGAAAGTCAAGTGTGGTACTTACGGTACGACCGCTGTTCTGAGACTATTTTGTCATATTTGCATCTCATCAAGCAAGCTCTTTTTGAAATGAAGCTCGGCAAAACTACGCATTTTTGAATTGATAGCGCTGATCTGTAATTCACCGCAGGCTCCCAACAATATGTGAACTGCCATACATATTTATGAAAAGCTCAGCCTCTGGCCTACATTCAGCTGATTGTGCACTTCACCATGCAGCCCGGTTTAGTCATAATCCATCATTATGTCTTAGAATAGAGACCATCTCAACCCCTCACCTCTACCTCCTCCACCCTGTTCAGGGTGTGCTAAATAATCACTGAACTTTACTGAAACATTTAAAGTCAAAAATTAATCAACACGTATGCTTATCAGCGATTTTTATTTATTTATTTATTTTTTACAAGTGTTTGGAAGTGGGAGTTTTTTTTAGTTTTCTTTATTTTTACATTTGAATCATCTTCACTGCATTAGGTATATCAAGAGGAGGAATGAAATACCATATGTAAATTGAATAATGCTACTAAATCTACACTCAAGAATATAAAATTGGATGGTGACGTGTTGCTGAGATAAAAAGCAAAAACAAGTGTGTGTCGAAGCAGACTAAATAATAAACCCTAGTCACGTTGCAAAGTTAAAAAGTATTGATTTAGCTGTAATTACATATTTGCTCTTGTTGAGCCTACTTTCAATGGCAACAAAACAACAAGGCAATGTTATCCAAGTCTTCTTCCTGCATCGGTTCACTACCACTAACCCAACACCACACTAATACACAGCATTCAATTAACTAAAGGTTTCTGGTGAGAGATTTTTTATTTTACTTGGGGGGGGGAAAGTTAGCGGGGTATTTCAAGCTGAAAATGTGTTTTATTCATTTTATTTGCACTCTGCTGGCACAAATAATAAAATAAATAAATAAATAAATAAATAAATCCCAAACCTGCCAGCAGCTCCTTTCCTCCTGAAAGTAGGGCAGCAAAAAAAAAAAAAAAAAAAAAAAAAAAAAAAAAACAAGAACCACTTTTTTACTCCCCTTTACCCCTGGTTATATCCCTGGTTGCACATGTCAAACCAGAGAAGCTGGTTTGTTGGCATGGCTGGTTCTGATTCTGGCAGCATGAACTATTTTAGTCCAGCAGGAGATATGAGCAATAAAGATATGTATGGAAGACGTATATGAAGGACTTTATCTGTTTATTTCTTGTGAAGATTCCCCGACTTACACCGGTGCTGGGATTTCTACTCATTTTGTAGAGATTCAATGAAATGTGTAAAAATCAAAACTACTAATGTCAGTGACAAAACAGTTCTCTATACTAGTATTTAGGAAATCAGTACACAGAAGGCATATATATATATATATATATCTATATAAATTCTCTCCATACAAGTCTTTCAAACAACCCCTTTTTCTTTTAGTCTTATAATAAACTGTCAAGAATTTAGCTGACCTGTATTAAAGCACGTTTTATGCTTCCTCTGTGGCCTGCAGGATCTGACCTTGGAATACATCTCCAGCTTCAAGTGTCCACCCTCTGGGTGATTATCAAAAATGTTTTTTTTTTTTTATCTGTAAAGAAATATTTCTCCATGTTGAATGATGGCCCTCAAATTGTCTGGAAATGGGCTTAGAAAACAATTTTTTTAGGTTGATGGGCAGCAACAAGTGCTTCTCGAAGGTCATTGTTGATCTCTTGATTTTCTTGGCAACCCCCCAAACTTCAGGTCTTCACGCAGAGCAATTCATCCTATTTGTCCCATTTGACGAAAAGGAAAAGCCAAAGCGATGCAAAACTTCATATAGACCAACTGCCAGGGGTTGTTGAAAAAATAATGACAGCAACCTGATTTCTCAACGTGGAAAGTGCAAGCACACACAGGAAAGTCGGTACATTGGAAGCTTTGAATTGTCATTGTGAAGATTAATAAAGAATGAGCTTCTTTAATGTTTTGCCTGAGTGAGCTCATAAAAGCTGACACACACTGAAGGAAGAGATGGAATACAAATACACCTACGTCCAATAAATGTCACTGCATACCTTTTGCTGTTTGCACAGCTTCCAGGAAATAAGACCTGGGTGTCCACAATAAGGGAAAAGTAGAAAAAGGCGTAAAACCAGTGCCAGTGTCCACCCCCCCCCCTCCCCCAAGCTCCGCAAAGGGCTTTGCAAAAAATTCCCAAATATTTTTACATGCAGTTTGCTGAATGCTTTTTAGACAGCAAAGAAAACAGAAAAATGACTGCATGCGAGGCCTGTGCTTTATCTGACTCCCCTGATCACTGCTAGAATTTGAGTGCACAATTGCATGAATAAGCTTTTATATACATACAACATTCCTCCCTAAATGTGGCAAAACATTTTATCTCGGTGTTGACTTCTCATTTTTTTTTTGCTGAACTCTCCTTCCAACGGCCAAGTTATTCACATATTCTGATTGGCCGACCTGTATGCTTTGCTGATTCCACTCACTCTCATTCAGTTATGCAGCTCACTTCTGTCTACGCTGAATACGACTTTAATTGAAGGACATGTTTGCTTTTTTACACAAGGACGTCTTTTATTCGGAGTGCCTTTTCTTGCTCTGATGAGGAGCCCCTATGAAAGCTTTCTCAGAAGGCCGGTGACAGCGATGAATCTTCAACCTTGCTACGTAAAATTGGTTTGCAAAACAGAATTGTTACTAAATTGAGAAGGTAAGTGGTCAGCTACAGTCGAGGCTCTAATGGTCATGAATTGCTCAGGGTGGCATTTACCTTTTCATATTTTGAAAAGATAATAATAAGAAAAACTTTGAACATTTTGATTGTTGACTCTGTGTGCAGATTGATTATTTCTTTTTTCCACAGTTTATTCACTTTTCAAACACCACAGTGGAAAATCACAACAAAACACACGCTTGTCTTTACATAGAACGGCTCCTGTGTGTCACCTTACAGTGAGATCGCTCAGTGAACTAAAATGAACATAGATTCTCAGAAACCTTGTTCAGGTGTAGCACTGACATGCATTCCTGGCTGTTTTTAACAGAAGAAAACACGTTTAGCAAAAAACATTCACATTTAGTGTTAAAATCCATCATCAGCGATGGGATTACAGATATTGGTTTTACACGCAAATATGGATTATCAACTGAGCCATAAACAGGTAACAGCTATTTAAACTTCGTATTACAGTTAAACATCAATAATGTTTGCAAATCAAGGTTAAACCCCAATCATTTGTTACAACATGAATGTGTTTCATTCAAGCCTGTAAAGAAACTTTGAGGGGGGATTCTCAGAACATTTATTTTTTATTTGTTTTATCTTCAATGCCTCTTTTGCACTTTGATGATTTTCTGGTTTCTGTTGCCTGACAATGTTCAGTTTTATTCGCTAAGTAACATGGTATAATATTTAAGTTGAGCAGCGATGCTTTTCATTTCGGTTTAACTGCACAAACATTGTCAGCAGTCGGGCAGCATTCAACCTTTGCTGGCACAATTTGTGGAACAGCAATTTGTGGAACCTTTTCTAGACTGTACATTCATGCTTCTGCAGAGCATCAACACATGCATGCTGCCATAAAGTGATAGTGTGCTGGAATTATTCTGTAATTCTGCTGCTGAAAATTGCCATTCCTCATCTATTTTCATGTTAGTTGTTTTTTTTTTTTGTATTTTTTAAAATAGTTAAAATTCCTGACAAGCAATTCATTCTGTCATTGCCTCCTGTCTTGACTGCAGACATTTTTTGCACCTACTTTTCCAACATGCAAAATATAGAAGCAACAACAACTTCAGCAACTTCTGCTGTAGGTTTAGTAAACTGCATTGCGGGTGGTAAGTCATCACATTTGCATATCCTCCTCCCAGTATTTTGCAATCTCTGATGATCAGCATATGTTTTGCATTTTCATGAAGCAGACACGCTAAATTTATCTTGCTTGCTATTTTTCTCATTTTGCTGATGCAGTCCCATTTGTATTTATTTTTTGTCTGTGATTTTTTTTATTTTTTTTATTTGATCTTCAGGACTTTACAATACTATTTTATGCCACTATAGATTTCATCATAGACAAATAATTTTATATTTAATCTCTAGTTAAAAGTATTTTTTTTTTTTTACATTTCTGTTCTTTGTAATGACAGTATTTTATTTTAGCAATAATTTGATTGATTAATTGAAGACAAAGTACATTTTTTTGAACAGCTTATTTTTAGTTTTTTCTTTGGGAGCTTCTTCACCTGTGTCACTTTTATATTGTAATTTCTCTCAGATATAATATAATCAGATATAATGATTTAATGCATTGGAGGGAAGAAAAAAAAAACACTTGATATTGGATATGGATATCCTGTCAGCTTCTTACCAAGATCAAGCTCTTAATATTTTCTTTGATATGCCATAATATTACCACTCTATGCATATCATCACCTCAAAAAGTTAGGTGTTAAGGCTGTTGCTGACATGACTGGGTTTTGTGTTCTTAAATATTTAGAAATCTTAAGATATATCGTTGGCCAACGTAGCAAAAAAATACAGAAGGACAACAACATTCTTAAATCAAAATCAAAAGCATTCTAAACATTACCACAAAGAAATAGTGTACAAGCCCATTAATATGCTGATGTACACGCAGACGTGTGAACACACACACACACACACAATCCCTCTTCAAACAGCCATGTTCCCTGAAGGCCGAGACCATCAGAGAAAAAGAAGACACATACCCTTGAGCTGCAGGGCTACAGGCCAAAAGCAACTTAAATCAATTCCATTTGATTAGGTGCCATGACATACACTACATCATTATAATTCCATTAACACAGGGATGGATTTTCAATGAATGTAACTGCAGGCAAATGGTTGGGCATAATTGTGTGAAATGAAATGCAGCATACGTTTAGAAGATGGGTGTGAATCTCTTTCTTCTTTTTCTCCTCCCTGATTTCAGATAAGGACGTCGCTTCCTTCTAAAGCTGCAGCCTTGATTTTTGGAGTCTCACAAGGCTGCGCATTTCTCACGTCTATCTCAACTTGCTTTTGCAAAGCTTACTCTGAATTATGCCATACTTTTAAAATCTTGACTCTGTAGGCTAAGGTAAGACCGTCATACTCTGATATATCCTTATTGAAGATTTCTATTTTGGTACAGAAATATTGCCTACCAAATAACTAGTATTACTGATAAAGATTAGCAGTATGTCACATTACATTGAAACCTTTGAATGTTATTGACTTATTAGAGTTTTGAGAGTCTAGTAGACTTTTGAAGTTTCAAGGCATTCTGACTAAAAAAGTGTTTGTTTGGTCATACAGGTTCAAGGCTGAATGCAACAGGTATTTCCTAGATCCCTGAAAATTGCTGTTTTTGGTTTCTCAGACACCTGCACTTTCAGGTTTGATCCTGTTTTATCACACGCTATAGAAAATATCAAACACACTTTACCAGTCTGGGTGATCTAGTTAAGCTGCAAATCATCCTCTGGCACTGTTCATCAGGCACTTCTGCTGCCTGCTTCTTTTCAGCTCCTCCATCATCCCACTATCCATCTCTGAGGTTAGAGAATGTCTCTTGTTCCTTCATGCTTGTGAGAGAAGATACGCTCATCATCCCACATCACTGAGACGTGTGTCATGAAGTCGTGACTTCAGAGGCTAGATGAAAAACTCGAATTAATATGGTACTTAGTCGTTTACATGTGAGTTGACTGCGTGAACAAGGCATAGAAATGATTCTCCAGCTTTCTTACTTACTACCAAGAATGAACATGACTTTAAACTTTGAATATAAATTGTGTTTTTATTTCTTTTGCTTCCACTTATTTATTTACTGCACTTTCTGATTACACAAACTGTGGTGCACACTCTGAATGAGATCAAGCTTTAATTCTGCCTTTGGGGTCCAGTGTTTTGTGCTGCTCATCTCAGTGTCCGCTCCAGAAAGCTGCCTTGCATTGACTGAATGTCACGGACGTCTGCAGAAACAGAAGAGCACTGATGAAGGTCAACAATCAATCAGGCTGCAATAATGTTGGAAAAAAAAAAAAAAAAAAAAAAAGATTAATGCATGTAGAAGCTGAACGTGAATTCCCATACAAATGATGACCAAATGTCTTCTATGTTATGTCAGTACTGTGAGATCTAATGACAAACTCATGCTCGGGTAAATACACTTTGAAGATACTTTCATTTCATTTGTTTACATGAGAAATGAAAGATGGTGACACTATTACAGTCACCTGAAAATATATTTATTCAAAGAAATTCAAAGTATAAACTTCCTCACATCTTGTCATTTTAAAACCACAAGCGTCAATGTATTTTGCAATTTGATTTATCACTTCATTCAGTGAGTTGACCTTCCAGGCTCACAGCAGTGATGGCGTGCACGTGCATCCTCAATTCGAAGGGCAGTTTAGGGAGATCTATTAATGTAACTACGATATCTTTGGACTGTAGCCGGATTACCTGAGGATAAACCAGGCATGGCAAGAAGAAACTGTTGAACATAAGACATTCTGAGCGCAGTTTGCCACGAGCCTGCAGGAGATGCTGCAAACAGAAAGGCTCTGTAGGTTTGATGAGATTTGTTTCTTTGGCCTACGTGCAAAACGCCACATGAGGAGAAACGAGATGAAGCTGATGTTGAATTTCCAAATAAGCACCGCTAAATTCCATGAGCAAAACAAAATTGCAGTAGGTCGGCGTGTTGCACACAGTACACAGAGATTACAATTGATTGTACATGCTAAAGTGGTGCAGACCTCTGTTTAAATGAGGATGTTGCATGTGCCACTGACTGACTGTCATTATGGAGAACAGAGTGGACAAAAAAGAAAAATGAAGTGAAAGACGTGGAGTTGGAGATACAGTACATTGAGCGTTGGACAGGTAACTGGTGGATATTTCTCATATATTTTTTTATTTTTTTCATTTTATATATATGATAATAGCAGATTAGAAATCACTGCCACACTTTTCAGATTTTATTTAATAAAAAAAAGGGTTACAAACTATGAATTATGTTTTATCTGCTTCAGAATTATGCCCAACTTTCTGTTGATCCAACATGGAACAAACAAAGAAAATATGCTGAAGTTTGTGATTTCTTCTTATCCAAATCTGAAAAGATTCAACCGGTGCTTTTGCAAGGCACCGTAGATATCCCCATTTGAACTGTATTGTGTTCCTTAATCCTCAACCCTCTTTGACATGGAGCTTTAAATCCACAAATGCAAATATTCGCTTTGGGCAAGTTATTAAAATATTTAAATGAAAGGCAAGCAAATGTTTACTGTTCCTACTTCAGTGGTTGATATTTAATTGTGAGGCAGGAGAGCTTTCCAGTGGAGAGAACAGACCAACAACTTCGCCAGTTTATGTTGAGCAAGGGGAAATCAAGGGGAGACTTATGAGCATAATAATGAATATTATGTCTGCTTTAATTACAACGGTCCTGGACTCTTTGAAGTACCCGGTGCAGCTGGAAAACATTTGCCTTGTGTCTGACTCCTTTATACTGAGCAGATAAACATGGATCAGCTATTAAAATGTACATGCTGGCTAGAATTATCTTCCCTTATTTGTCAGCACTGAACAAAGCAGAGAAAAAGGAGCCTAATTGCCCGTTCTGCTCACATGTGTAAGCAAACTTTAGGATTCATTTTCGCTGCCGAGCTGAATAAAGAACCACATTAAATTAGACACACTATGCCTTCAGAAGCTCCTGAGCTACCTGTGCGTATGCTGCCAATATATTTCCTGAATGTCAACCAAGCGTCATTGGAGGGGGCAAAGAGGAGCGCTGCACAGATGCTTGTCACTCGTGCTGTCGCTGATGCACCTGTCGCCGCCGTATGTCAGGAGTCCCAGCCACTTAAAAC